TCCTCACCGAGAACGGGGGCACTGAGAGCCGGGTCTCCGATTGGCTGCCCCGCAAAACCTCCGTCGCCCGCCCATGGTCTCTGTCACATGCTACGTTCACCTTCGGACTTATATTTTTTTTCTTTTTCACACGAGCCCTAATTAATTACCATGATCAGAGGGGTGTTCACTATTCCTCCCCTTTTTCCCATCCTTCTACGGACATCTGCAGGCAGCCCAGGTGATGAACGATCCAGCTGTGTGCCCCTGGGGTCCCGGGTGCCCTTCTGCCCCGAGGGAAGGTTCCGGAAACGTTCAGTGTGAGACGGGGGCTACCGCCCCCCCGGCGCCTTTCTCAAAGCATGACAGTGAACATTGTTGACAGAGGGTGATTACCGGGTGAAAATATCTCACATGGGGGGGATCCTTTTTCACAAATCATTTATGAAAATATTTTTGGTTTAACATACGGTTTATTTTCACATTTAGCTAGTGGTGCGTTACAAAAAGTACCTTTATCTCGGAAGCTACACCAGGGAAATCTTCTGGGTTATTATTTAACCACTATGCCGCCTGCTGACCATTCAAAGCGAGCGCGATTTTTAGACTAAATTGCTATTTATGTAGCCGGAATATCTGTGTTAATGTAATTAGGTTAAGAACATTTATTAAGCTTTATTAATGCTCATGCCGGTGATGTGTCAACCCGCCCTCTCGTCCTCGGCCAGGCAGAGGGGTTTGCTATCCGGCCAGGCAGCCTCCTCCTTCTGGAAAGCTCTATAATCGCAGCCTGCCATTTCTGTCCCCCCCCCCCACCCCGTCTCACACGCTTCGCCATTCCTTGGTCGGCTGAACATCCGATGCGGCGGCCAATGGCCCTAGAGGCGGCGCTGGCGTCATCGGCGGCCCCCTCGGCGTGGCAGGAGTGCGGCGGCCATGCCGGTGCTGCCGTTAGCGACTGCGGCTCTCTGACGCAGCAACGGTGCCGCCAGACCTGCCAAGTCGCCGGAGCTGCCGGGGCGCCGGAGCTGCCGTGTGACTCACACTGCGCCACGGAAAGACGCGGAGCTGCTCCGAACAGCTAGTGATGCGAATCTCTCTCTCTCTCTCCCTCCTCACACGCTTCCACACCATTCAACCTAAAAAAAATAAAGCCCCCCAACGAAGGTTAATTGCAGCAATCTGCCCAGATAAATAAGGATGCTCATGCACTGGTGGGGTCCTGCTCGGAGAAACAAAGTGAGCTCGGCTATCGTAATGCGATGAATGCATTTCTCTGTCCTGGAGAATCAGCAGTGGTGCAGTGCCGCGATCCAGTCCGGCAGCAGCCGCAGTCTGGCTCCCGGTTTAAACCCCCCCGCTTCACTGCTGGCCGGCACTAGTGGGGGGGTGGGGGCAGCCGAGGAAAAGCTCGGCGCCGGCTCGCGTACGTCCCGGTCAAGGATGCATTATTTATGCGCGCAGTTAAAGTAGGACGCAGCGCTGTAGCCTTCAATCCTGTCCCATTTGGGGGTGGGGGGGGTACGAAAATACAACCCCCCCACCCTGCACACCGGGTTTCACAACGCTTATTAGCGGTGTTGCTCATGAGTCGTGTTTTTGGGATTTGGTGAAACGGGACCGGGACGGTGGGCAGCCACATGATCGCGATCAGTTGGGGTTTTTCCGAGGGGGGTCTGTGTAGTGCG